TGTGTGTGTGTGTGTGTGTGTGTGTGTGTGTGTGTGTGTGTGTGTGTGTGTGTGTGTGTGTGTGTGTGAGTGTGTGGTCGTATGTACATCCGTGAATTCCCTACTTACATAGCAGCTTTTTATTCACATCCAAGTCTATTTTTTTTCTTGTCCTCCATTTTTAGCAATTTTATTAATCTGATTATAGGAATCACATTAAGAAATAAAATATATTCGAAATCATCTGATGGTATTATTTTTTTTATTTTTCTTATTTAAGTCACATGTACATATAGTTTATTTTCACGAAACTTCTATCTCTAGATTTTAGTGCACAATTAGTAAATTCCTGTAAGACCTTTTTATAACTCCGAACCCGTTCTTTTATGCCCCACTGAGAATCGATGCCCAATGCACTGCCATGATTTATTTTGGTGTTTTAATGTCGAGGGGAAATTAATCCCTTTTTTAAGATCGTTGGAAAAAAATACAGGGTTCCATTAGTGAATGTCTTCTGCGGACGGAGACAAAGTTTGCAAACAATGGTCCTGACATATCTGTCTGTGGGTTCGAGTACTTTGTCCCGAGGACGGTCACGTGATCGAGATCTTTAGAATACCGGATTGAAAAACGGTAAAAAAAACGTACCTCTTCTCGGGACTTTGACAAGAAATATCTGAAGAACACGCGAGCGTCTTAAATTTAGCACAGAAGAGACAAAATCTCACTTGGTTTATTCTTGAAGATCGACAAACGTGTATTTAGATGGCCGACACAAAGAACCGGGCATGGTGTGCGTGGTCTTTGTCCTCAAAGACAAAAGGTAGATTAGAATTTCTCAACTGCTTTGCTATGCTAATGTTATTTGGCGCTATCTTTAGATAATGTGTTAACTGATTCTTAAAATATCTCCTTTCTCTATCTCTTTCCATATATGTTACTGTTTGGATTTTACGCGTTGTCAGGTTCTCCTCCAGATGCATCTTATAATCCAATCAAAAGAGGTAAAAAAAACAGCTTCCATTTATACTAAAAACAGGTCTTTGCGTTGGACGTCGAAAGCCAAATATCTCCATCAGACGCTAGCTACCGGGCTTTTGAAGTGGAACACCCACCTCCTCTCACCACCTCATGTTTTGTCGTCGTTTTTACGTGGACACTCTGGCAGAATCCTCTAGAAAAAGTCTGGTTACGTTACATTTAGAACCCCATTTTCAGCCCCAATAACATATCCATCCTGTGAGCACCTCGGCCGTGTCAACAGGCAAAATGTTTACCTTCTTCTTCATCAGCCTCTTCTCTCTTGCTCTGGCGAAGGAGGTCGTCAGCAGATCGTAGACGGAGGGATCGTACAAGGTTGTGTCTTGGAAGCAGCCGTAAATAAACATCCTTTCTCCACGGTTTGCATCTGCTCTACAGCCGGATTAGGCCGCGGGAACAAGGGCGAAGGGAGACTCTTTGCCCTCTCTTTGTGCAATGGTTTATCCACGACATGACACCCGGCTGCGGATTGTTTATTCCCGCGTCAGACCCATGGTTGATGTGGCCATTGTCGTGCCTTCGCGCCACACAGTCCGCGGAGACAATTGCACACATTCAGATCACCGTTTTACAGCGCCTCCAAATCGTAACATCTGCTCGTCGCTGGATCTAATGGATGTGAGTCACCCCATTAAATTTGTCGCCGTAGCGGAGTTAAAGCTCTTCGAATTAAGGTGCTTGCTGTTTAAGGATTTATAGAGATGAACATTTTTCCCATACATAGTAAGTAGGTTTTGAATCATTGTATAATTATTTTATTTTTTATATAATACTGATGTGTCTGAAACACATTATTAATTAAATACACTCAACAAGATAGGTTTACTAGAACGATGAGAAACAGATATGAAATCAGAATCGGTTCCACACCAGGAGGTGTTTATTCAGAATAAACGCATTGCAATTTCTGTTTTTCTTTCTGTTATCATATCAGCAAACCACTGGGATTATATTCGTTCGAACGCGAGGTAATAAATTCGTAAATAGAAGACACACAGTGAAGAAACTCAACAAAAAACATTTACAGTCTTACTTACAAATTAATCAGATTCTCAAAATTAAATCATTGACCATGAGTATACAAATCACGTTGAATTTTCTCCCAACACGACATCAGCAACGTTATCTCGTACCCCCCCGTGCATCCCACAATACCGTGTAACACGCTCACGCCTCGGCAATCACAGATAAGGCTTCAGTCTCAGCCCAGCGCCTCAGGGGATCTTCCGATACGAATTCTTCTCCAGCCGAGGCGATTTACCCGGGGTGATTAAAGTGATTTGTTCATCCATAGATCAGCGCAAGTGTTCATTTACGTCGACGTGGGGACTGCCTGGTCGCGAGGGATTGACGGTTAGGGTGAGGAGACCCACCGGCATCGTGTGTCGTTTGCGGCGGGATACGGGGGTAAACAAACACAAATTAAAGTCAAGATGGGTCAAAATAATTCTTTAAGTATGAGGATAAAATTTCAGAAATGGGAGGAAATCGGAAATGATAATATAAAAGTGGGAGAACGAAAGAGGGAAATAGGGGAAATCGCGGGAAAACTCGAATCCCAAGACTTGCGGTTACGTCGACGGTCCTGCGGTCGAGGAGCCGTCCGGAGTTTGATCCCAGTCCGCCCAAAAGAAACAGACACGGGATCGAACCGCAATGGGGAGTGTCAGATCATTTAAACAGGAGATCTGTAGAGTTAGATCTTGTGTAGTTAGCTCAGGTGGCTAACGGGGCAAAGAGATCAAGGAGACGAGTTGGAACGCATTGGATGGAAGATCAGATTGACGTGGATAAAAGTCCAGATGGGAAGGACTTCAAGGTAAGAGGGACATGACAAGGAAAGATAAGGAAATGACAGTAGATGTTAAGAGAAATATGAAACAGATTGTTACAAGGTCCTCCGATGCCAAAACTTTCTACGTCAGAGAGAGAGAAAAAAAAAGTACCTAATGATAAACGATATAATCTCCATTTTTCTCTTCCATTTCCGGTCTCTTTATCTTTATCATCGATGTTTTCCTCATTTCATTTTTCTCATCTCATTTCTGTTTTTTTTTTTTTTTCCTTTTCTTTTTTTCCTATTTTTCCATCGTGGGTTTCAGAAGTTAAAGAAATTCCTTAACGCAAGCTTACTCGCCAACTTTGAAAATAGTAATCGTAAATGGACTTAAACGGAATACATCACATACTTATACTTCACTGCAGACATAACTATTCTTTGAGTATCGCCATTATTCTTAAAATCGTCGTGATTCTTATCAACAAAAGTCTTACATCATCCTTTGGGTTAATTTGACCGTGTAGGTATTTTGCTCTGCGTATACAGTCTTCGACGCTGTCACAATAACCATCATTGTCTTTGTTGTCGACTGATTATAGATAGTATTTGCGATATAGTCGTTACAGGAACGATACACATCACAGTAAGAACGTTATCCCCTTGTTATTTTTTCTCTCATGATTGAGATCAAAGATGTTTGAAGGCTTCGGTATGCGCGAGAAAGGGCAAGGAAAGGGCAAACATAAAAAGAAAAGCAGAAAATGACATAGATAGATAAATAGATAGTTAAGTGGGAGAGAGAGAGAGAGAGAGAGAGAGAGAGAGAGAGAGAGAGAGAGAGAGAGAGAGAGAGAGAGGGGGGGGGGGCACAGACACAGACTGACTGACGGATGGACGGACAAACAGACAGAGACAGAGACAGAGATTGAGAGAGAAGGGGGTGGTTGGAGCGGGGAACAGAGATAAGTAATACAAAGGTATTCGCATTGTAAATCTTGAGTATTTGTCCTATAGTGCAATTTATAAAGCTTTCCTTAATAGCTTACACAGCTGACTGGTAGGATTTGAAAAGAGAAGGAAATTTGTTACCACGAATATATTGCTCACCACAAAAAGTTGCGAATCTATATTTTATTCTAGAAACATTGTTAACATTGTTTCACAGTCGACAACAATTGCTTCAATAACAATAACAGTTCCTAAAGGACGAGTTTTCGCCACCACAAGTTTTCACCACCTGTTGCCAATTACCCTGACACTATGCAGGTGAGAGCCCCCGCAGCCTCTACATTCCACAATAATAATTCTACACATTCCAAGCGGGTGAGTGTTGGCAAGGTTAGCACTCCTGGTTATGAGGAGGACTTCCCTTCCTACTGTTGGCTTGTTACTGTTCGTTATTTTGGACTGCTGGTTACTGTTATCTGTTGTTAAGTTGCTGTTGCCCCTTGCTTCTGTTGGGACGTACCGCTGTCCGTGGCGGGAGGCGGAATGAGATACTGAATGTTGATGGTGATTTCATAACAGTTTTATGACTGTGTCGTAAGATGGGGTTTTTATCCAAGTAATGTTAGTAATGATGGCCATGCTGCTGCGATGTTGGCAATGGTCGTTGTTTACGGAACTGGGTGTTTTTGTTTTGTACTTGTGCATGACCTAGTAATGCTGCGGTCGCGATAAGAATTCGTTGCTTGAATGTAATCGTTCTCGTCGTGTTATAAGCGTTATATCCGTAAACTTTTTTTTTCTAATCCTTATGTACTTGTTTTGACATTTCATTCTATGCATTCGATACCAACGCTCTCTTATGTATAATTTGCTTGATGATCTTTTAAACTGTTGTTTATATTCCATGTTCGTATTTTATTTTACGATGAAAAGTGCTTGTATTGGTCAATGCCTTGCCGGTGGCGACGTTGAGTGTTTGTAGTATGTCAGCCACCACGGTAGTTGGAGTAGCACGCTTATTGTACAGCCATCAGATATCAAAGACAGAGCATTTGTGAACGGTTTGGTCAGCTCATGGGCGTCGTGGCTACAACGCGGGCGCAGTGGCCAGGGCGCGGGCGGCGGGGGCAGAGTAGGCCGCAGCGGTGTCGCGGGGCTGGCGAGGTTCCGTCACCAACCGCACTATTCCTGGTCTGGCGCCCGGCCACGTGGTGCCACCAGGCCGCCCGCGGGCATATTTCCTCGGGAATAGTAAACCTATCATAAGCGTGGGCGTAGGCGTGTGGGGAGAGAAGCGAGCTTAGGCGTAGTCCTCTTCCTCCCCATTCCTGCTGCTTCACATGGCGGCTAGGCCTTCCGGAGCGCCAGGGAACCACGACCCCGTTAGTGACAACATCGTGGCTGCGTGTTGAGTCGCTACTGCGGGTGCCAGCGGGCCGTCGGTGCCGCCCGGGAGTGCCAGCCATTCAGTGCCGGGGTCATCGGTGGTGCGAGTAGATAGTGAGGACGGAGGAGCACCTGTACCAGCCCACACGCCCGCCGCGTTACCGCTGTCACTCGTGGGCGCGCAAACTGGACGCAGCGACCCAGCCAGTGTGTGCTCGCCGCGGCCTCCGTGCGCATCTCCGTGACATTGTGGCGTTTGGTGATTAGTGATAAAAAGAGAATAAAATTGATGATAGTGAGAAAAAAGTGGTATGATTTTAGTATAGCATTAAATTATATATTATTTCAACGGAACTGTGTATTAGATCTTCGGTGAAAAGTGTGAATAAGAAGAACCGATGTGATCAAAAGTGCATTTCACCAAAAAAGTGGAAAGAATATTTTGTTATAATTTACAGATTTTTTTTCCGGCTGAATGTGAAATTTGTATAGATTTTTTTCTGTGTATTATCTGAATATATATTGATTTTCATTCACTTGCTAGAATAAATAGGCTGTGGATCTTTAGGTAACTTTTTAAAAGTTTTTCTAAGGTGATTTCCTCGTCTGAGATGGAGAGATCACAGAAGACAGGATGCCACTTGTGACAGTCTTTCGTTCTTTTCCTCTCTTTACTTTTTTTTGTCAGTCGCCCTTGTTTTTATACTCCAGACACGAAAGCCTCGAAACATATAATAAAAACCAAAACCCTATTTCCCTCAGTCTTTGCACCTCGTGACATTCAATACGTACTTCCATATTCACGACGGTAGAAACGGTTCTTAAAAGAGCTAGAGTCCTTTGTGATGCAAATCTTGAGTCCTCTGGGAAGTCTTGGGGGGATTACCTGTGTCTTCTGTACAGTCCCGGCGGCGTCGACTGATGGTGCACTTGTAGGGGGAAAAAACTCACTCGCTATTTTCTCTGGTTGGTCTATTGGCCTAAATGTGTCTAAAATAGGGAGAGATGGAGTGGATAGATGTATGGATAAAGAGTAAAGTCTAAAGTAACAATTCCAAAAGCTGGGGAATATGTTAAGAAAAGTACTTACGTTAAAAAAAATATATCCCTATCGTTCAGTGAGTGAAGTAGTCTCAGGTAGCTCTTTTTTCTCCCTTTTTTATCGCCTTAGCAGATGCACGCGCGTGTTTATACAAGAGAGTGAATCAGCTGTGGCCACGGGCTTTTTTTTCCCGTTCATTGTTCAATCGGTTTCTTGGATCAGCTCGACAGGAACCTTTTAAGAAGCGATTAGTGAAGCAATAGAATCAGATGTGGGCACGGGCTGTTGTTCAGGTTCAGGGTTCAATAAGTTAATCAGTTCCTTGAAGCAGCTCGACAGGAACGTTTTAAGTAGCGTTTGGCGAAGAGGTAGTTGAATCCTTCGCGGCAATTATGTGCGAAGTGATGTTGTTTATCGCCATGAAACGACTGAGACTCTCATGTACAGCTAGCGGGTTCGGGCACTACTGGTTAGTTCTTCTTATGCCTGTATTAAATGTAATCTTTTACGAGGTGTAGTCCTTACGTTACCCCCAGCAATAACGTAACTATTGTTTTACAGGACATTTACGTGCAGGCTTCCTTCCAAATTGGATTGAGAAACGAAAGGGAATGTCTGTGAAGTGGAGAGACTATTAACTTCAAAATCTAGTTTATGTTCGTTTATCGCTTTCATCTCCATCTCATCAACAATATAATGGTAGATAAATAATACTTATTTAAACTCAGGCTTCTTTTTTTAGTCACTTTCTTAAGCCTCCTGTTTGTTCGTCTTGAAGGCCTGTTTGACCCTCATTTTTTTCATGCCTCGAAGTGTTGTCTTTAGATCCCCGAGCAAGCTAGTTCTCTCCCCCCCCCCACCTTCCTCTCCTCTCCCCTCCCCTTTACCTCTCCTATCCCCTCATCCCCCCCTTACCTCTCCTATCCCCTCCCCTCACCCCCTTTACCTCTCCTATCCCCTCACCCCCCCCTTTCATCTCCTTCTCTTCCCTTCTCATGGTGAGTAATGTGTTTCTTCTCTGACCTTACTCACCTCGCCCATGAGTCTCTCCCTCCGCCCTTACCACCTAGAAGTATTTCCCCCGCGAATCGACCTATAAACAACATTGTTTATCGTCCCGAGTCGCGGCCTGTTCTCTCCTCTCTCCTCCTCCCTCCCTTCACTCCAACCTCCACCCCCCTCCTCCTCCCACCCTCCCCCTCCCTTCCCACCAACCTCCACTCTCTCCTCCTCCCACCCTCCCCCTCCCCTCCTCCCCCAGCACGGAGCCAACACACAACCCTTTTACTCGCCATGCACATAGATCATTCTTTAACAATGTTTGCACCGGTTCGTCTCCATAACTAACTTTTACTGCCCTCACTTCCCTCCCCTTAACCTCAGGCTGACAGGTTCTTATCTCCCCTCGGCGCGCCTCCTCTCGGGCCGTCCAATAACACGTTCGTTATTTGTTGGTGTTTCATTTCGGGTTCGTTTTTTTGAGGGGGGGGCTTCTTATTTTGATTGATTTGCATTTGTTTTTTTGTTTTTGTTTTCATTGGTTGTTTATTCGTGTGATGATCCGTGTATTTATTCATCTATTTACTCGTCTCTTCGCTTGTTTGTATTGTTTGTTAATTTATTTTCACTCTTTATATTTCTTTGAGGATTTGTTCATTTATAAGTTCAGACATATCCATTTTCTTATTAACCATTTTCTGTCATATTTTCCTAGTTCTTTTTTCCCTAAAGTATATAGTATACCCCATTCTCCTTATATTTTCTACTCCATTTTCCTCGGAATTTGCGGCTTCAATTTTACCTTTTAGCGTTTCTCCTGTTTCATCTTAACGCTCTTTGTCCATCCGTTTCTTGTTTACATTCCGTTTTCTTTCATGTACCATTTTCCGTTTTCTGTTTGTATTTCTAAGAATGTAGGAGCTAGTGACTAATGAAAATTACTCGGTGGCAGAACCGGTACTTGTTATGAATATTACTCACTGGTTTAGTTTTAAGTCATTATAAAGATTAAGAAGATTACTCACTGATGTTGTTGAGGAATTTTAATGAAAATTATTCATTGGTAGAGTTGGGTAATATTGACAAAAATTATTCATTGGTACAGATGGATATGTTCAATGAAAATTACTCATTGGCTACAGTTGGATGCCCTTAATGAAAATTGTTTATAGACATACTAAGTAATTTTGAAGGTAATTGTTCAATGGTTTTCTGTATATGTTTTCTATGTTCTGTTACTCTCAGATTCCTCACAAGTCTCTGAACGTCTTGGTTAATCTCTTTATCCTATAAAACGAAATTCACTTTCCTTCGCTGTTTTTTATTAATGTTTCATTTGATTTTTTCTTCAGTTACTTGTCTCAGTAATTGTTCGTTTTTTACTCATCCCTCTGTTTATAACTTCCTCAATTCTTTTTCATTAGTTCCAGTCAATAAGTTTTCACTAATCATCTTTCGCTCCCGTTCTTTTTCCTTTTCCGATTTCCCGTTTTCCCTTTCTGTTTCTCTTTCCCTTTCCCTTTTCTTGGCTCATTCACACCCTCCCTCTCCTACATCCTCTCTCTGTCCCTCCATTCTTCCTCTTACTTTCATACTCACTCATCATCGGTCTATCTCTCACTCTGCTCAAACATCCGTCATTCTTCATCGTTTGAGTTTTGTCCTCCCTCAGTCACGGGCCATAAAGCGATTTAGTGTAAAAACTCGAGTTATGCCGCGAAGCCTCAAGCTGCTCGGATCGACTTCTTCGATGGCCGATTTAAGAGACAACCGGAGAATTATGATCAGTTCTGGACTCTGGAGACGATTTGTTTTCGTTTTTTTTTCTTGTTTCACCTGTATCCCCCTGGTACATGGTGCCAATTCTCGGTGCGCTGGTGTAGTTTTTCGACGACTCCCTTTTAAACCGAAAAAACGTTACTTATTGATCTGAAAGTCTGTGTCACAGAACCGACGTCGAACTAATGACTTCGCGATGATAGACTGACAAGCTGATGGATGCGACCTTCAGCGAGTCGGAACAAAGTACTCAAACTTTCGAGAATTCCTATAGAACGTCTTCCAACGCTGTTGTTGCTGACATCAAAGAGGTATTTGTTTTAAAACAAAAGGGGACCCGTAATCGAATCTGGCCGTGTTTACCTTGTGTAGGGACGGCAGGCTTTACTTTAATCCCCCAGGACGTCCGAGCCACGATCAGCACGTGGGGCCCAGCGCGCGCGGAGGCGGAAGATAAACGCGCGTGTCAAATGCGAATGCGAAATTAACTTACACTTTTGTTATTTTCATTCGAAACATGGCACAGGAGTCTATAACAGTAAGAGTAATCATGTTACAGTTAGTGTGTAGTGCCACGAGAATGTTGGGAGTACCCGATGGCAGGCAGTGACGGGGACGGCTGTGTTGGCAAGGCATCCACTCCAAATACCAACACTTGCTGCTCTAAGAACGCCAAGACGACAACTGTTCATTCGTTGTCCAAGCTGTCTCAGGTACAGCCAGGTGTCTCAAATTAGAGAACAATGATATTCGTGATTCGAGACACATGTAACTTTGATGAAAAGGTTGTTATTCTTTTGAACAGTCTAGCGATTTATGGGAGCGGTCTGACAGTATGCAGACCCTTAGTGAATTGTTCTTGGCCATCCATAAATGTGTAGCATCGTATTTTATGTGTGGTTTTGTTTTTAATCAGGGAATACAGAAGAATGAGTGAGCAGTGTTTGTAGTTCACTACAAGATAAATTGGTAGCTGAAGAAATATGAAGTGATGCAGTTTAGTGCAGCTAAAACAGAAGTGGACTGATGTAAACTAGGTTTTATTG